GGATCTTAATGGTGGTGGGAAATTGACTTTCGAAGCGGAGGCTAACTGGTGGGACCCATAGGCTAGCCGACCTGCTGGTGGGGTCGGCAGGCCCCACATGGTAGCCCTTCGGGGTCTGCTTCGGTGGAGAGCCTCCTGGTATCTTTTAGAATCTTCTCACGTTGTTTATGCGGCGAAATTCCGTAATTTCCTTTGACGAATAGGTCCCCCTCGATAGTTTTCTAGATAAACCCTGCTGAAAACATAGATTCACCAAAACTCATAGAATTTATTAGTTTAAACCCTTAACCTATGTTTGGTGATGGAATTAAGTATAAATGCAGGTTATGCTGATGGTTTATAATTGGTGTTAGTGACCGTCAACATGGGTTGAGTGAGATTCAAATTTAAGAGCAAGCCACCCTTGAGCACTTGTGCATATTGTCGATCTCATGATTTATATTTTTTACTCTTGGACTCTTCGGTCCTAGACGGCTCGGCGTCGCGGAGAGCACCCAAGACATTGTGGTGTGCCTAGAAAAGTTTGTAACAGTTCGATTCCACCACCGCAAGGGAAGGAATCAAGCTAGTGGAAGGAGAAAAAAGGAGTTGGAAAAAACTCCAGCTAGAGTGGCCTTCATGGTCCTCTAGAGCTGACCTTTGCTGGGTCGCTCGCAGCCCCCTCAACGGAGAGTAGGTCTCGACGGAGGCCGAACTTCGGTAAAACACATCGTGTGTCTCGATCTCTCTTTTCATTGAGTATTTGTGATCCACTTATGTTGCTTGAGCTTGTAAACATGTTACTACTAAGTGCCAGCAACTTGGTGTGAAAGGGGAAATCGAAAGGATCAAGTTGAGAGCTGATCGGGCAGAACCCGTGTATACGGAACGCGTTCGGTATTTGTGGACTCTGTTGTTTTTATTCAATCTCATTTCTAAGCTTTGTGGTACAGGGTTTTAGCTCCTAAATACCTTACATATATCTTATTTACTCTATTAACTAACTCGTGAGGGGTTTATTTATATGATTAGGAGTTTTCTAGAAACTCCAACATTAATCGTTTCCGTATTTTAAATGGTTGAATTTTTAGAAACACCTTTTCACCCCCCCTCTAGGCGTCATCCTCGGTTCTTTCAGGGAGCATATTTGATTGAATCTACCTTGAAGGTAAACCACTAAAATTATGAATATTAAGTAGATAATATTTGCTAAAATATTGAAGTTATGCATAGATCATGAAGATCACTATCTATTCACAAAGAATACAATATTCTGAAGAATGAATGACCAAGAAGGTTGAATGTTACACTCTTTTTTCTTATGTGGGTTTTTACTTGAAGGTTTCACACACAAGGTTTTTAATGAGACAACATGTACAATACAATTAACGAATACGATGTACTCTTTTCTTCGAGAACCATTTTTCCCACTAGATTTTTAGATGAAGTTTTTAATGAGACATGTGCATATCATGGTAATCGTCTAAGGGGGAGTGTTGTAAAATATACGAACTCTATCAAAGGAGAAGAAGAAATCATAATCCTAGTCCGTTTGTATGTGGGCTCTTACTAAACTTTTAGACCTTGGTAGGACTATATATACATGGGAGCTCTATGTTGTAATCACCAATATATTAAGAGGAATAAAGAATAGTGTCTCTATCTCTTGTGTATATGTGTTCTAGAGAGGAAAATGTCATAACCGCTGGTAACATGTTTTATAACAATTAAGACTTGAGTCATTTTTGTAATATAAATTATGCCATTCCATGTATACACTACTTTTGAGTAGCCAATACTGATATCGTGAATGTATGTGAAATCGATCCTGACGCACATTCGATCCTTAAAATTGGATGTAACAAAGGTCAAGATGTGCCCTGTGCCTTTGTGTTTGAGGAAAGGAAAAAATCTAAGTTACCTTCCTCAATTTTTGCGAAAGTCTGTTTTTCCTCCCTGAACTCTAAAACCAGGTAAGCCATCTCCCTGAACTTTTAAAATCGTTCGTTTTATCTCCCTGACCAGTTACAAGCGGTTTTCAAAAGTAGTTTTGTCTTTTTCTTTTTTATTTATTTCGGCTAAATCTTTAAAAAATCATAGTAAATCTAAAAAATCATAAAATGAAAAATCTAATTTTGTTGGACTCCACATGAGTAGATCTACACAGTGAATATATAATATGATATGTTTTAGTACAATTTTTTTGTTGTAGCTTTAGATCTATGCTTTTTTATAATTAATTCATAGCTGCAATTTCTATGGTCTAATTGTGATGAAATTTTTATGGTGGACTAATTATTGTATGCTTGAACTGTAGTAAAAATTAGTCCACCATGAAAGTTTCACCACAATTGGACCATAATTACTGCAACTATGAATTAATTACATAAAAACCGAGATCTAAAGCTACAGCAAAAAAAATTATACTAAAGCATGTCATATTATATGTTTACTGTGTTCAAATGGAGTCTAAAAAATAGATTTTTTATTTTATGATTTTTCTATAATTTATTATAATTTTTCAAAGATTCAGCCAAAATAAATAAAAAAGACAAAGACAAAACCGCTTTTGAAAATCTCTTATAACCCGTCAGGGAGGTAAAACAAACGGTTTCAAAAGTCCGGGAGGTGGTATACCCAGTTTTAGAGTTTAGGGAGAAAAAATAGACTTTTGCAAAAGTTGAGAGATGTAACGTGGACTTTTTTCCTTGAGGAAACAGATAGTAACTTTGACGGGCTTGGGCTGAACCAAAAAAAATCAAATCCCATATGAACTCAGGCGGGCTACCCTGGCCCATCCTCACAAGAACCAGTGCGTTGAGCCCGCGCCCTCCCTCCATGCGGGGGAACAAGAGGCCCACGAACTCGGGGTCTATTGGCAGCCACGTCTCCCCCGGCCGAAAAGCGTTGAGCAGCCCACGTTAAGGCCGTGCCAAGTCGGACCCCACTTACACCTTACACCACCACGCCCCGTGCCACGTGTACACCCACGCAAAAGCCGTTACCCCCTCGTCTCGTGCTGGGCTCCTCCTCTCAAAAGATCACAGAGAGAGAAAACGAAACGCCGTTGCCTCGCCTCCTCCCCTCCCCCTCCCTCCCTCCCTGGTGCCCGTCACGTTCACCTCGTTCGCCGGCGGCGTCGCCCAGCTCGGCCTCCCGCTGCCCGCCGCCCGCGGAGGCCAGCCCCCCCCCCGGGCCGCCCGCTCGGTCCGCCACGGAGGCAAGGTAACCGGCGCCTTTCTCTCGATCGATCGTCTGTCTCGCGCCGATCGGCCGGGCACGCCATTGCGTCTCGGCGAGGCGCTTTTTACATTCCTCTTTGGTTCGGTTTAGGCGGCGTATTCAAGAACATGCCGGTGCCCCCTTCTTCTTTTTTCATTTTCGTTTTGGTTTTCTTTTCGGGGGAGCGGAATTTCTGATATTCCCTCGATTTTCTGGGGCCGCGAGATTGGGTTTCGCTTTCTCTGTTCCCGTCGCGTTAGTTTGGTTCCACGCGGTTTGCGCCCTCGCTTCACGGGCAGTTCGGTGACCAGCGTTCCAACGTCAGTTTTTCGTTCTGAGATCGCATTCTGGCTCTGTTTCCGCCATCCCTCTACAACTGAGTCGTCAAGTATGAAGATTTTCTTTTCTTGGATTCACTACTCGTCTACTCCCCTTATTTTTTTTCGATACTACAGTATGATAAACAACTGTTATATTGCTAAATATCCGTTGTTCTTGTTCACTGTTCCATACGTACTTTCCTTCTTTTTTTTCTCTCCCCTGTTTCTGGTGTAGGTTCCTGGCGTATATTTGAGGCTTTCCTCCCCTTTCTGTGGCGTGTTCAAAAGTTTCCTTTTCTTTCACGAGTCAAGGCCCAAAATGTGCTGGCAATATTAATGCATCCCTTGCAGGTTGCGAATCGGGTACCTTTCTCATCTGCATATCTCTTTTCATCTTGTGGGGAAATGGGAGAATCATTCTTCCTCAACTTGGAGGTCCGGATTTTAGATGGGGTAGTATATTCTTTTTTCGGATATCTTCGTTTGTATCTCCTTGTTCAGTTTTTTCAGTCATGTTCTATGAAGCAGCTGACAGGATGCATATGCTTTGGATTTGCTTTGATATCGGATTATTTGTTTCTGCTCTTTTGGTATGCCTCCATTCTTGATGATGAATGACGCCTTATGCGTGTTCATGGGTATAAATGCCCCATACGTGCAATTTAATAAATCAATATCTTCACTGAACCTCATAGAAAGAAATTTAGTTTGAGGTGTGGTAAGTTAGGTGCAGAGGCCAGGCGTTAGAAGCGACTCCAACTTTGGGGCTTTATACTCATTTCCCTTCAGTTGGATAGAAAAAAACAGTTCATGTGCTTTTTTACCGAAAACAAATAAAAACCTGTAAAACGTGAATAAATACTATTTCCTCGGCCTCTTGCTCTTCTCTCCGTTTCATGAGTACTTAGTTTTGTCAATCAGAAAACTCAAGTTTAGTAAAGTCCACTTTGCTTTACTTTTGGGTATTCAGTGTCAGAAGTTAAGTAATCCTTGGGCCTTTTCTTGTGGCATCTGTTGTCATATCCCTGATCATTGCTCTTTATGCAAGTATAATCTTTTTCTCTAAGGGCTTTCTTTTCTCCTGCATGTAGGCTATGAGTTGGGAAGGTCTGAAGTTTACTATCTGTTCGGTATTAGCAAGGACGTGAAGTAAAAGTATCATATTCAAAGTGTTCGTCGTGATTCCGAGCAGGTTTTTTTTTTTCTATCGTGGATTTAAACCAGAAAACTGAAACTCCGAGAAATCTTAGGTTGGTTATTTCATTTATGGCATCTTCAGATGAATGAATAAAAATACGGTTTGTTGTAATCAAATATTCCTTTTTTCTCATAAGGAACATTGGGACAATGAGTTGTGTGGTTCTTTAATAGTTATCTGGATGGTTTTCTTCCAATTTTTATTTTTTTACTTATTCTTATCCCTTGGATTGTAGGAATTGGTTCTTTTATAGTACTTGACAGAAAAAATCTCTTCCAGACATGGTGGCGTCTTTAGACAATGTGAGGGGCTTAACTTTGGCCATGTCATCTAGTGCATTCATTGGTTCTAGCTTTGTGATCAAGAAAGTTGGATTGAAGAAGGCTGGGGATAATGGAAGGCGTGCAGGTTGTGCCTCTTCTAAGCTTTGTTTTATTGAGGTATCATAAAAGCTATTTAATTAGGACAAACCATTGATACTATATAGCGTTGTTCAAGCAGAGCTTCACATGAACATAACTCTTAATGCTTGCTTAATGATATATTTGTCTTTTGGGCTTTTATGTATATCCTGTGGATAATTCTGATTTCCTTTGTTATGCTGATGCACTGCAGCTTCTGGAGGTTTCTCATATCTATATGAGCCATTATGGTGGTTGGGAATGATAACTAGTAAGTGTCAATTGAAATCATGTTTTGAAGGGAATTAGCAATTACATCATACTTTCTATATAGTACTTCTGGTTAGTAGTACACCTGTACTGCTATATCTATAGCTCATTGCAGTTCCATTTCTTATTAAGTTCTGTTGTTGATGTATATCTTATTGATATGCCTTTTAAGATGATTGGTTTCATGATTTCCTGAATTGTGCGACACAACTTGAGTAAGTCACAGTTGATTGTAGTTATTCATTCTCCACTTGTGCACTTGCCCTGTATGATCTTGGAGCAGTAAAATTGGGTTTGTGTCTTAACTAAAGTTCCAACATGCAAATACCTACTTTGACTAGATTAGCACTTGGATCGCTCCATGCTGCTAGTGTTTTACGTCTTCGACATAAATGCCAGAGGGATCCAAGAGTTCTGCATCGTTTTTTCTAATTGTAGTATAAAATGTTTGTAGAGCGCTCTCCACATATTTGATACTGTATTCTTAAGTACGAGACACACACTAATAATAGGAAACCATATTGGCTATTCTATTCAAATGAACAGAGCAGCATGCATATTTTTTAACTTGATATCTTCTTGGGAAACCTCTCATGCCTTAGTTCTAAATATACATGGGTTTCAACTAACCTTGCTGTTTGAATCCTGTCATGGCACTTTTAGTTTTATGAATGATAGAAATCCAAAAGGTTTGTTAAGAGTGTACTGACTTGCATTGCCAGTATTTGGAGCAATAAGGGGATGTTTATATCATCTGATGAAGAATCACTTGAAAGAAATCTAGATCATCAAAGTGATTTATTGATCAATTTCCCTTTATTTTTCTTTTCAATTTGAAGGGTAGGACACTACTGCTATAATACCAGTGAAGTATAAACAGTATTTCTGACAGTGATACTTATATGTTTAGGAACATTATGTAATGATGAATCAGAAGCTCACTCTTACTAATCATTTTGTTTTACCTTGCAGTGATTCTAGGCGAGGTAGCCAATTTTGCAGCATATGCATTTGCCCCTGCTGTACTTGTTACTCCTCTAGGAGCTCTAAGCGTCATATTTAGGTAGAGCTTTATCATCTTCATAAATTTCCTTACATCTAGTGTTGTGTTCCTGTTTAATGTTTTGCTCATGCAGTGCAGTGCTCGCACACTTCATTCTGAAAGAAAATTTGCACATGTTTGGCATTGTTGGTTGCATACTATGCGTTGTTGGTTCTGTTGGTATAGTTTTGCATGCCCCAAAGGAGAGAAAAATTGATTCTATGAAGGAAATATGGCATCTTGCAACACAGCCAGGTAGCTAACTGATCTCCTGTCACTATGGAATTCAATACTAGAAAAACTTTGCCGACCTTTTTATTGTCTGCCTTTGTTCTGGTTTACTGGACTCTCTATGTTTATGTGTACGCATCATTTCTGACTTGCAGGCTTTATTGTTTATTCATGCGTGGCGGTGGCCTGCGTTCTTTTTTTGATATTCTGGGTTGTTGAACGCTCTGGGCACAGATTGATGCTTGTTTACATAGCAATCTGTTCATTAATGGGATCTCTTACGGTACATGAGAATTACATCACATTAATATTAGTAGATTATTTAAAAAATCGCTCATTTATCTTTTATTAACATAGTTTTATGATTGGGCAGGTTATCAGTGTAAAAGCAGTTGCCATTGCTTTAAAGCTATCATTTAGTGGATCAAATCAATTCATCTACGTTCAGACATGGTTCTTCATAGTAGTAGTCACTATTTGCTGCTTGGTGCAGTTAAACTACTTAAATAAGGTATCGAAGTGTTCTGGTCTATGGATACATTCTTGAAATTTGTTATCTGGAATTGTTGCAATTCTCCAATAATGTCATTCTGAGCTATGCATGAGTTTGATCATTTATTTCATTGCTATTCTCGGTCATGCCTTACGACATCAATACATATTTTGCATCATTTAGATTTGGTTTACTTGTCTAATTTCATTTCACTATGTGATCAAATAATCACCCTGTGACATCTTATTTTTGCATATTTCCTGATCTAGGTCTCAGTTTCCAGACTTATTTCTTCCTTGAGTATATTAAACTGATATTGTGAGCAAGCACACACACACTAAAACAAATATATATTTTTAAGCATGGCATTGGTTAAGATGAAATCCCTTCAGAAATTTTTTGTCCACATCTGGAAACAATGCGACTTTCTTGTAACCCTTGCTAGTTGGCCATTAAATCATAAATAACCCACGATTCATTTTTGAAGATGGAAAAAATATGGTATTGAAGTTAATAGCCAGGATGACATAACATGCAAAGAGAAATCTATGTTAAACTCGTCTTGCAACTCTTAATTGTGTTTTCTTTTCATCCTCTTGTTACTTTGTAGGCTCTGGACTCGTTCAACACGGCTGTGGTTTCTCCTGTATACTACGTGATGTTCACCATTCTTACCATTGTTGCGAACATGATCATGTACAAGGTGATTTCATTGTCCACTTGCGCATATTTTTTGCATGGTATATTGGTCATAATTTTTTTTCGTTATTTCCTGCTCTCTGCCATAGCAAGTATTGGCTGATAGATTCCTTACTTAATTGACCGGCAGAACTCCTGTCTTTTCCTTCAAAAATGTATTGGCAGATAGAGGACTAGTGGACTACTAGTTTGATGTTATTGTACTGTTATGGTTTATTGCTCTAGATAGACTAATTTAAATCTTAAACTGAAACTTAGAGTGTATGAAACTAGATGTCTGCTATTCTCTTTTAGCTTGCAAACTATATGACCATAAACTGCTAATATGTTTCTAAAAGTTTCATTTTCTGCAACCACTAGACATGCAAGCAAAGGGAGGGGAAAAAAACTGATTTTCAGAGAAATTCCAACCAAAACTATTTATCAGCATGCCTTGTTTCATTTGGTCTTCCATTGCTATAGGGTTCCAGGCATATTATCCTGTATAAAACTGATATTTGTTTGTCATGGTTTTCCATCCTAGGACTGGGCCTCGCAAACTGCAACACAGATCGCAACACAGCTATGTGGGTTTGTGACCATTGTCGCGGGGACTTTTCTGCTTCACAAGACTAGGGATATGGGGAATCCACCACCACCTGACCAAATGTGCCTGGAAGAAGCCGGAGAATGTGCTCCACGGTCAATGAACAGCTCTAGCTGAACACATATAAGATGTTAAAATCTCAGAGCCTCTATAGACCGAATTGGAGTTTTGAGCTGTATGGTGACCTTTGTAGATATATTAGGAAGGAGTGAAGGTTGGAGTGCCTAGTAGTTGGACATACCGATGAAGTTTTACGTTTTCTGCACCAAGAAAGAATGAACTGTATGAAAGCATCGGAAGATTCAAAATCTATACAGATGGATCGTTGACCTTTTTATTTAGAGTTCAAGGAACTTAGGCCCTGTTTGTATCCATTAGCTGCTAATAGTTCATAGCTAATATTAGCTGCTGTTAACTGGTTAGCTTGGTTCAACTAGTAAAATAGTTGCTAGTTGGGTATTCAGCTACCTTTGTTCAATAGCTTGTTATGTTGTAGCCTTATGCCATTTGTTTTCAAAGTTATTACTGAGCATATGTAGGGTAGAATAGACAGACACACCCAGGACCTTGTTTCTCCCCTAGTCCTATCCATGTGTTCTTAACCCTCACCTTCTTGCGGCCAATAGAAGATTATAGATATCACGAGCCCCCGTTTGCTTGCATTAGGCAAAATGAGGCCTTGTTCAAAAGGCAAAAGTTTCATTGTTTTCATGTGGATGATGTTGTTTCCTGACCTGGCGGGACCCTGGATGGAGGCTGGAGGTCGAGCTGGCAGCAAAAGATCGGTATCCCACGCTGCCGCGAGCTCATCTGCAGCGGAACAGGGCAGAGAGCACCGGGACAGCACTAGCGGTAGCGGCCCCCAAATCTTATATAGCGCGCGTGCGCTGCGCTCCCTCGCGACGCACACTTGCCTTTTCTAGCACCTGTGTACGATTCCCTTTCCGTTCCCGTCACTTTTTGTCACGCTCAAGCCTAACTCAGATACATTGCGTTGCGACGGTCATTTAAAAAAATCAAAACAGTGTGCCTGTTCCTTTTCCCCCTTTCTCCCTGCTCGAGGCGGAGGCAGAAGCTCCGTCGCTGCGGCCCGGCTCGATTTTTGGGGCGACAGCACATCCGCCGGTGCCATCAAGGGACTCTCGACTCACGCAGCCACCTGCCGACCTCCCCATCGACGTGGAGGCGGAAGGGTCATGAATGGAGACGCCACTTCATCCGAGGCTGCTTGGAGGAAGGGAGCATCAAGCCACCATCAACGTGGATGTGAACGTTCGTGGTCGCCGGAGGCGGAGGCGGATTCTAGCAGGTAGAGGGCTGAGGAGCGAGGGCCCTCGATGAATCCACCGCCCGTCGAGATCCTACAGCTGCAGTGAGGACCGAGATGAAGGATCCAAACCCTACCCAGTAGAGAAAATTGCAATTATAGGACGCGAAACAATGCGCTTCGCTATTACAGGACTCTAAACATCGATTTCGCTAAAACGACCATTCAAACGTTAGCACTTTGTTATACATGACATTTGGTCTTTTTAATCACTTTTCTCAACTAAAATACATGTATTTTACCATGATGTGACCGTATTGCCCTCGTGGCTTCAATTGACATGGGATGGGGTCGTACTGTTATGGTTTATTGCTCTAGATAGACGGCTTAAACTGAAACTTAGCCGATGTCGCTATTCTCTTTTAGCTTGCCGCTATATGACCATTGCAGTTTCTAGTTCTAGATGAATTCTAGACATGCAAGCAAAGAGAATTCTGATTTCAGAGAAATCACATCAAACTATAAATCTATCGATAAATAAACAACTAATGTCTCGTCCAATCCAAATCTTTTATTTAGGTTCACCGATTTGATCTCTGTTCTTCACTAGGGATGAACCTCAACCGAAGTTTGGTGTAGACCTTGACGTCCCTCCACCGGGACTCCATGTAGTGCGAGGGGTCCATCTGCGTATACACCTAGAACTTGAAGTAGTGGTGGTACCATCGCCATGTCCCTCGATGGCGAGCCAGCCCCTCCGCCGATCGATGAGCACGAGAAAAAACACTGTGAGCGCCCCCACCGACGCGTCATGCACCACGTTGAGCCGAACCATTAGCGGTTGTAGATGGAAGCGTCGACAACGCACACCTCGTGTGAGTTGTTTCCTGTGGTAGTACATGAGCAACGCGACAGACGACTCTCTGGAGGCTCTTGGTAATCGGTAATCATAGGACAGGATTAGCAACATGATTAGCGCGATCGTGAAGATTAGTGATACCGGGCTTAATTTAATTAGTATATAAGTTTAAGAGGATCTCGGAGCACGGCTTGGGGCCTTGTTCCCTGCCATGGGGAGGCTCAAGGGCTTGTCGGGCAGCAAAGACACCCACATCCGCAAACGCGGGCAGAGAGCCGTCAGCACATGAACTCCATACCGCATGCTCCCTCATGACGCACCGGGTTCAGTTCCTGTCACTTTTTGTCACGGGTGGTGTTGCGAGCTTGAACCGGTCCTCGGTGAGGTTGACAGCATGATGAAGCCTAGGGTCGTCAATCAATGTTGGAACGAGTGGTGGTACTTGACCGATGGCCCTCGGTGACCACGCACCCAAGACGATGAATAGGGAGCGAGAGGCCATGGCAGGGAGGAAGCAGGAGCCATTTGTGGATGGGCTTTCTTCTCGAGTTCACTTCACTAACATTGCACCTAGATGAATTTCAGCCGCCCAGCCAGCCGAATCTTTTTGTGGATTTAGGCGAACTCTCTTCGTCTTCAAAGCCGCAAGAGCGCCAGCCCCCATCCCACGTCAATTGAAGCCCTGAGGGCAATACGGTCACATCATGGCAAAATACATGTATTTTAGTTGAGAAAAATGATTAAAAAGACCAAATGTCATGTATAACAAAGTGACAACGTTTTAAGGGTCGTTTTAGCGAAGTCGATGTTTGGAGCCCTATAATAACGAAGCGCGTTGATTCGCGTCCTATAATTACAATTTTCTCCACTGCTGGCCGCGCGGCTGCGAGGACGTCGAAGTCGTCACCGGCGACGGTCTCCAACGACTCCAGCTCCTCTAGGCAGGTGTCGCTGCCCCGTCCGCCTGCTCTTCGCCCCTCTGCTCCCCCCGGGTGCGCGTACGAATTTGTGTGCACAGGCTGTCAGCTGTCGCGGCCGGCGGGGATTCCATTTGTGGGAACCGAATCTCAGGTTCGACGGTTTGTCCTTCTGATTTCGCCACCACACAGTGATTCGGATTATTAGCCCATCTTCCAGGTATGTTTTGATGTGATTAATTTTTGCATGCTAGCTGACCAAAAAAATTTAACCTACGGGTCTTACTGATTTCAGTTTGGGGTATTGGTTTAGCTATAAAGTTTTTAAATATATAACTTGGTATGTTTTCTGAATCCTGTTTAGAAAGGTTTTGATATTTAAATTTAAAGTATAGGTGTACAAAATCAAAGTTGAAATTCTGCAAATGTGATGTTAGAGGGTAAACTTTACAATTATAAAGTTTTTCATAGTTCGTTGTATAAAGTTTAGAAAGTTATAGTTAAAAGGTGCATAGATTTGGTGTCCAAAGTTTTTGAAGTACAAAGTTTTGGGGTCTTCTTTTCAGTGGTAAAGTTTGGGTTGGGAGTACAAATTTTATAGTGTCAGTTCAAAGTTTTTACATTTGGAGGGCAACTATTTATAAACTAGCACTCTATCATCTTTTGTTTTTTAGTTGTTCATTTGTGCAAGGCATATATCTCTAGAAGATCCTAGAAATTTTAAACCATATGGTTATTTTTAACCATTCATAAATTTATGGTTCATTTTCAGATATTACAGAAGCACCTTCTTCAGCATCTATAACAAGCCATCCTTATTGAGGACGTCGTAAGCATACGGTGAGATATGTTTTTGTGCTGCTGCTGGCTAAAATTTTCTATAGCGCTCGAACCAGTATATGTGACCCTTTTTCTATATGTTCAGCGTAATATGTTTTTAGCTGATGATTAACAAAATGAGATCTCTAGTTTAATTTAGGGGTAGATCCAACCTGTATATATGTTTGGCCAGCGTCCATGATTTGCATAAAGAGTAGACAGTAAGATGTTCTTTTTTTTATGGTACAATGGCAGTGGTGAAATATACACTATAAGTTGTGAATAACTTTTTTTTGTGGATGTTGTTTATTTTTCTCAAAGATACTAAATATTAAGATGGCAAGTTTATATGTGCTGATTATTAACTTTTTGAACATGATGTTCCAAAAGTTTTACAAGCCTATAATGCCAAGTTTCTTCTACCAACATAACTACCTTTAATAATTTATACTCCAGTCAATAATTTGGAGTATATATTTTGTAAGGTTTTCAATTTGAGGTACAAATGTTTTTCACATGCAAAATGAAAGCTAGTTATGTGCAATTCTTTTTTCATCGTATAATTTGAAAGCTTTATTACTAGTACTACAAAGTTTGGGATGGAGGAGTACACAGTTTATAAAGTCATACTATTAAGCATTTATTGAAACCAGTTGATTGTTGTCCTTTTCATGGAGGGAGTTGTGTACAGAAGTGAGTTTGTGTCTACAGAAAACCCTAGTGTGAAGTGGTAAGTGATGGCCGATGGCGGCCGAATAGTTTCATCTTAACAGTACATTTTTCAGATCCACTACTGCTAATAAGTTCATATTTTAACTATAGCTACCTCTTGTACTGGATGGTAACGAAATCGAGAAGGTACCATATATTCGTTTGCAACATGTGAGAGCACAAAACATACTGGATCATCCTCCAATGGCATCAGAGAAATCAGGCCAACAAGAAAAAAGCCCTTGGCTTCATCGATGATGGAGAAGTAAAGATCAAATAGTGAAAGTTGAGAGCATCACAAACTGCAGTGATTCAGAAAGTGAGGAAGAAGAATTAATGGTCAGTTTCTATCTTAAAATTTCTTTCAGTTGTATAGAGTAAGCTTATAATAAAATCCTACAGCTAGTACTATGAGAATCTACTGTGTATTGCGAATTGTATATATGCAATGTTAATATTGGAAAAAAAAACATGCTTACTTTTGTCAAATTTTTCACTAATAAAACATCAAGGGTCAACCTTAAGCCCGTATCTCTTTGCCTTG